GGGGGGGGGGGAGGAGGATGGGCATCTTGGTGCAAATCTGTCAACCGCGATGTGGTCCGCGTGCTGCTGCGGGTTTTGCAGGACGCCTCCCGGGTTCGCCCCTGGGTTTTCTCGAATACTCATCCCACAGAAAACGCACCATCAACGTGCACAGCATCGGTCGGAAAGACTTTCGTTCTCCCCGTGCGATGGTGGGGGGTTGATTTGCTTCTTCTCGTGTTATCGAAATCTACCCGAAAAGATTCTCTCGTCGAAGCACGGAAATGAATAAATGAGAAAGTTTTCGGCGACAATTCTGTCCGTTTTACCCCGTGGTGGATGCGTGCGATGATGTGTGAACTCGCATGATCCCCTCCCGGACAATGGGAGCGTTTTTTCCCCATTTTCAGAGAGAGAGAGCGAGAGCGCATCACACCTTATTCAGCCGTTCTGCAGAAAATACTACCCAACCGACACCGGACTCAAGGGTGATGTATTGATTTCCTGCGGCGTACGATTCAGGTAGCGCAAGCGAACATGGGAGCCGGCTGGCCTCGAGTGATCGCGGCACATTCCTGCTGTAATTTTCGTTGAGTGCCGCAACACCCATGAATGAACTTTTCTTTGACATAGTGTGCAGCTCCAGTATTCCAGCAAACTCGGGCGCCAGCCACACATCCATCGCACAAGATAGAGTAACAGGAGAAACACCTTCCATTGTTTTTTGTTCTTGTTACGGACAAGGCAAGCAGAACATAAGTACCACCACAACGGAGGACGGAACACGCCGTCATACGTCTGTATGGGAGCGAGTGCGTGTTTATCCATTGCCTCGCAAAATGTCCGTCAACACGGTATTCTAATACTCTAAAACGATCAGTTCTTGGATCCTTGTGAGGAGGCCGAGACGTGGTCGGGTTTCCGGAAGTTCAACAGGTCAAGAAACGACACAGAAACATGGGGTTACTCTCGCCGTACCTCATGTCTTCCTCCCAATAACAACACTCCAACAACATTGGGGGGGATGAGGAGGCGAACAAAACAGGGTGCCGAACAGCAGACGCACCGGACCCCCCCCCTCCCTCCTTGCCTCCGAATCTGCCGCCCAGCTCTCATGCATGCAACGCATGCGGCCCGAAAAATCATGCGGAGGCTCCTGCCTCGGCTCCCTTCTGTGCCCCTTCCTTCTCCATATCGGCGTAGATGATTGGCTCGCATCGCGTGAACTGCTCGACGTAGAGCTCCGCCTCTTCCTCCGGGTAGGTGCCGCAGAAGCCCTTGCCTCCCTCCTGGGCCTCCTCGAAAATCTCTGCCGCCTGCTCGACAGACACACCCGAGCGGAAGGGGTTTGGGGTGGTGCACCGTTCGGTATTGCTTAACCACGTAAGGTTCAAGGTGTTACTTGGAACACATGTGGATCTCCACTGCCTGATCGACACACACACGGAAACGGTTTCGAGTGATGCACCGCCTCACTTTTTCTTAGTTATCGACGTAGTGATCCAAGGCGGTGTACGTGAGGGCCTGTTTTCACGTTAAAATTTTCACCTACATTGAGGACCCAACTTGGGTGGACCTAATTAGGCTTGGCCAAAAAGGGCTTGCGTCGGTTGAACGTAATTTTGCCACATCGAGGTTCAGCAACACCCAAATGCTGCGGAATCGCTGCCGCGAGGTGACGTGGTGACCAACCAGGTAGAGCGATAGACCATGTGCACCACACGGAAGCTGCAAAAATACATCAGCACATACACGAAGCCAAGAATAAGCAGGCGGTGCCAGCGGTCCAAGCCTCATCGTCAGGCTTGCTCAACGACTGTTGTTTGGACCGTCTCGCTGCACATAGCCGGCCGTTGACTGTTGACATCGCGCGTATCGGAAAGCAACCTCCACAGCAACCCGACCAGCGCGAAAAGTGGGCACGCTTACAGAATCATTGCAACATAGCTTCCCAGCAGCGGGCAGTGGGCGATGCGTGTGGGTGCCGCACAGCCAATGTGCCACATGCGGTCCCGTCAGGGGAAACGCCAGCACAAGTTCAGCTCATCATGGGGGGTGCAAAAGGGGGGCAGTGCAACTCGGGTACTTCGATTCAGCAAACATCATTTCAAGTTGCAATTGCTTTTCGTTGCACCCAATATCGAAGTCCCGCTTTTCCTGGCAGAGAAAGTCTCATCGTGTTTTTTCCTGTTGACCTATCGGCGTGTTTGGTCCCCGGCACCCCCCCAAACGCAATAATTGTAGGGCCTCAATTTAGGTGCAACTGTTCAACGTTAAAACACGCTTTAACATGTAGATACATGAGTAGTGCGCCGTGTTTCTTTACTTACTCACGTAGATTTTAAGGTGTTACTTGCTTAACATGTGTGGATACATGCGTCCCTCGGGCTTTGACAAAAAAGGGTGGAATACAAGAAGTTTTCTTGTCAAGTACGCAGGCATCCATTCTTGTTGTCTTGTCAAGCCCCCTCTATCCGGCAGCAGTTCGTTCCTACGTGAGTTCGTCGATTCTCGATTTCGATTGTCTCCTTTTTCCTCTTCCCGGTACTTTTCGTGTCCGCGTGAGTATGTTGCAATCTTCCTGAGCAACCCGCGTCCTGTTAGTACACATGGAACCTTGCGGTTCCGGAACTGGATCCGAGAAGGGTTTCAGCTGCCTCAACAAAACACCAAGTAAAACGAAGGGGCAAGCAGTAAATGATCCGTGGGAGGCTCTTCACCCCCTCCCGCGCCCGCGCCCGCGCCGCCGCCGCCACACGTCTCCGGGAGATGAAGTTCCCCGTTTCAACATACACCACGCGAGTATCCTCGCCCTTTACGCCGACAACAAAAACGGACCAATAATTCGAGAGACTGATGTGCTATTCTTTGCGAAACGAAACGAATTCCGCCGCACCCACCCGTGTGTTGTCCGTGTCCGGGACGATGTCCTGGATGGACATGACCACGTGCTCTCGGTTGTACTCCTCATCGCCGATCACGAGCACCTGGAACATGGGCGCGTCCTCCGTCTCCGTCGCTCGCTTCGTCTTCGTCACCTGCTTCTTCTGTTGTGTTGTTGGTCCCCGGGTCGCGTGTCCGGCGCGAACAAGAACAGGTGCAGGGGAACAAAAAGAGGTTGGGGTAAGGAGGGAAGAGAGAGGGAGAGAGAGGGAGACAAACAGACAGACACACAGACACACACAGAGAGAGACACGACGGGAAACAGATGTTGACTTTGGGTTTTCCGTGAGTTGCAAAAAAAACGGGGCCGTCGCGGACAAAATAAAAAACAGCCCCAAGAGTGCCTGGAGGTCTTTCCAGCTTCACCAAAACATCATGTTGCGCGATCGAACGAAAAATGCTTGGTTGTAAGGAATAGTTGAAAAAAAAACACGTTTGTAAAGCGTCATTATAGCAGTTATACCTTAGTTTCCTGTGCGGACTCCGACTTTGGCGCGGCTACCGAGGTTACCGCCCTCTCCAGGGACACCTTTGCCCGCCCAACCTTTCCGCCGGGCGCGAGACAGGTCCACGGTGTGTGAGGAGGAGGGGCGGCGACGCCATCACTTCCTGCCGCCGCCGTTGAACGAGCGGCGTAGAGCGGGCATGGCGTTGTTGCCGGTCTTCGTACCGCCGAAGCCGCCGCGCCTTTGTTCGGCAGGGAAGCTTTCAACACAAAGCCCGTGGTTCCTGCGTGTTAGCGGCGCGGGGAAGGGGGGGGAGGGGGAGGGGCGTNGGGGGGGGGGGGGGGGGGCGTACTCTTATGATTTGCATGCCTTAGCGGTTAGACCATTGACCACGCGTCCTCGAGAGGACGGAGCATTGTTCCCACAGGACCGATCACCGATGGCCAATCTTCCTTTCTACGTTGCCAAAGGTGGCTCAACAATGTCTTCCCCAGTCTGTCTATCCTAACGATATATCCCTTTTCCGCCATTTCAACCCACCTCCTATGCCCCAGTACAGCTACCGTCCTTTCCTCTCTATTCCATGCCTCAAACATCTCCCTGTACGTTCCATCTATTTTTCCCAGCTCAGTCACGTACACCTCCTTCTTGTACAACGGACATTCCGCGACTACATGAACACGGTCTTCGCATTCGAAGCCGCAATCGCATATGATGTTCGTCGTCTTCGTCGTCTACCGTCCTATATCTTCGTCGACGTTCTCGAAGGTCTACGTCCCCCCGGTCCTGAATTTGACCTTGCTTTCTTCCTGCATCCATGTAGGTAATCCTTGAACCCTATTGCTTCCTTCAACATTCCGTACACTTCTAGACCCTCCTTATCCTTGGATTCTTTCCTCAGATTATGTTCTTCTCTCTCGG